CGAATGTTTATAGCAGCACAATTCATAATTGCAAGGCTGTGGAAACAGCCCAAGTGCCCATCAATCCAAGAATGGATTAATAAAATGTGGTATATGTATACCATGGAGTACTATTCAGCTCTAAGAAACAATGGTGATATAGCACATCTTATATTTTCCTGGTTAGAGCTGGAACCCATACTACTAAGTGAAGTATCCCAAGAATGGAAAAACAAGCACCAGATATATTCTCCAGAAAACTGGTATTAACTGACTAGCACCTAAGTGGACACATAGGTACTACAGTAATAGTGGTATTGGGCAGGTGGGAGGGGGGAGGGGGGAGGGGGGTGGGTATATACATACATAATGAGTGAGATGTGCACCATCTGGGGGATGGTCATGATGGAGACTCAGACTTTTGGGGGGAGGGGGGAAATGGGCATTTATTGAAACCTTAAAATCTGTACCCCCATAATATGCCAAAATAAAAAAATATATATATATAATCCGAAAAAAAAAAAATCCTAGAAAGTTGAATTCAGCTGCTCATCCAAAAAAATAAATAAAATCCGTCATGACCAAGTGGGTTTCATCTCAGAGATGCAATGGTGGTTCACCATATGCAAATCTATAAATGTAATTCACCATATAAATAGAAACAAAAACAAAGACCATATGATCATTTCTAGATGAAGACAAAGCATTTGACAAAATTTAGCACCCTCTTACAATAAGAATTCTTAACAAAATAGGCATAGATAGGACTTAGCTCAAAATGCCATGTAATACCAAAATGCCATATAAGATAAAAACCATATAAGACAAACCCACAACAAACATCATACCAAATGGGAAAAAATTGAAAGCATTTCTGCTTAGGCAGACAGGGTCAACCTCTATCACCACTTCTATTCAACATGGTTCTAGAAGTCTTAGTCAGAGCAAACAGACAGGAAAAGGAAATCAATGGCAATCAAAACAGAAAAGAAGAGGTCAAACTATAACTCTTTGCTGATGATATGATCTTATATCTATACCTAGAAAAGCCCAAGGATTCTGCCAAGAGAGTACTGGAATTGATAAATAAACTCAGCAAAGTATCAGGTGCAATATCAATGGGCACAAATTAGTAGCATTCATATGTGCCAATAACAGTCAAACTGAGAACCAAATCAAAGACTCAATACCTTTTACAATAGCAACAAAGAAAATAAAGTACCTAGAAATATGTTTAACTAAGGAAGTTAAAGACCTATACATGGAAAACTATGAAACACTGAGGAAGGAAATAGCAGAGGACATAAGCAGAGGGAAAACCATGACATGCTCATGGATCGGCAGAATCAGCATTGTTAAAATGTCTATACTACCCCAAGTGATGTACATATTCAATACAATCCCTATTAAAATACCAACATCATTTTTCACAGGTCTAGAAAAAGTAATTCTACACTTTGTATGGAACAAGAGAAGATGCCATATAGCCAAAGCAACCTTAAGCAAAAAGTGAGGCATCAATTTATGAGACTTCAGGCATTCTACAAGGTATAGTAACTAAAACAACATGGTACTGCCATAAGAACAGAGCTATGGACCAATGGAACAGAACTGAGAACCAGATATAAGACCATCCTCATACAGCCATCTGATCTTTGACAAAGCAGACAAAAACATACACTGGGGAAAAGAATCCTTATTCAATAAATGGTGCTGGGAAAATTGGATAGCCAGACGTAAAAGACTGAAACAGGATCCACACCTCTCACTTCTCAAGAATCAGCACACAATGGATAACAGATTTAAACATAAGGCATAAAAACCATAACAATTCTAGAAGAAAATGTAAAAGCTCTTATAGACACTGGCCTAGGCAAAGAATTTATGAAGAAGATCCCAAAAGCAATCATAGCAACAACAAAAATAAATAAGTGGACATGATTCAATTAAAAAGCTTCTACACATCCAAAGAGACTATCAATAGAGAGAATAGAAAACCTACAAAATAGGATAAAATATTTGCATGCTATTCATCCAATAAAGGGCTGATAACTAGAATCTATATAGAATGTAAGAAAATCAACAAGAAAAAATCAAGCAACCCCATTAAAAATTGGGCAAAAAATATGAAAAGAAACTTGTCAAAAGAAGATAGACCAATAGCCAACAAACATGAATAAATGTTCAGCATCTCTAATCAATATCAAAATGCAAATCATACCCAAAATGTGATATCACTTAACTTCAGTGAGAACTACTTTCATTAAAAAGTCCCAAAACAAGTGCTTGCTCAAACGAAGAGAGACAGGGACACTCATACACTGTGGTGTGACTGCAAACTAGTACAATCTCTATGGAAAATAGTATGGAGATACCTCAAAGCACTAAAAGTAGAACTACAATTTGCTTGAGCAATCTCACCATTGAGTATCTACCCAAAGGGAAAAAACACATATTGGGAAACAACCCAAGTGCCCATCAATACATGAGTGTGTTAATAAAATGTGAGATATATATATACCATGGAGTACTACTAGTGATAATAAAAATAGTGAACTACTTCTTGTATTATCCTGGATTTAGCTGGAGACCATTCTTCCAAGTGAAGTATCACAAGAATGGAAAAGCAAATATCACCTATACTCACCATAAAATTGTTACTAATTGATCGACATCAGTGTGCACATATGGGAATTAACATTCATAGGGTGTGGGGAAGGGGAAAGTGGGGGGATGCCTGAGTAAATTCACACCTAATGAGTGCAGTGCATGCTGTCTGGTAATGGGCACACTTGTAGCTCTGACTTGAGCAGTACAAAGGTAATTTATGTAACAAGTGCATTTTTAACCCCAGAATAACTCTGAAAAAAAAAAAAGAATTAAAAATTAGTTCAACAAACTAACTAAATAAATATATACATAAATAAAAACCAACCAATGAACATAGGAGTGCACAGAGGGAAGAAAACTCGGTGGAGGGCAACTGGGGTGGAGGGAAAAGGGGAATAAGCCAATCTAATGGGTACTATGATACCATTTGGGTGACAGAAACACCTATAACCAGGACTCAGCATTACAAAAATGATCCATGTAACCAAAACTATTTGTACTCACTTAATATTTTGGAAAAAAAAAAAAAAAGAAAGACAGAAACAAAGCTGCTGAAACCACACTGACATGGGCTGTGAAGAAACACTTTTGGTTTATATACTAATTTGTGTGAGTCTGGCTTCCCTTTGTTATTTCAGGCTTTTAAAAATCTTCATGAAAATGGAATCATGCAATTTGTCCTCTTTTGTTTCTGGCATCTTTGCTTATCAGTAGATTTTCAATATTTATTTGTGTTTTTATGTATATAGTGAGGATAGTGCTTACTGTATGGATGCATCAGAATTTATCTGTTTTACAGTTGATGGATACCTGTTTCCAATTCAGGGCTATTATGAATAAATTCATATTGCTATGAATTCATAGTGCTAATTCATATTGCTATGAATATGTATACCTTTCTCTGGATGTATACACAAATTTGGTTCTATTAACAAATGAGTAGAGTTGTGAAACTAATAAAGTAGCTATCAATTTTCAGTCCCTCCGTAAGTTTATGAGAGTTAATCTAAATTCTCACCAACCTTTGGTATTCTCAGTTTTCATTTTTGTTTATTTCTTTTAACATTTTAGACATCCTAGTCAATGTGTTCTAACTCCTTTTAGTTTTAATTTCTATTTCTCTGATGACTAATTTGAGTGTTTCGATAAGCTTATTTGCCATTTTGGCATCCTTTTTTGTGTGTGTGAAATTTTTTTCAAATTTTTTTCCCACTTAAAGATTTGTGTTATCTATCTTTTTTTATTGATTTGTACATTTTGAAGTCCAAATTTCTCAGTCTTTGCTGAAAGACTTTGTGTGCATGATGTTCAAGGTGTGCACACTTTGAACCCTCAGGCAAGCAGTTTACAATTCTGATATCCTTCACTTCCTATGTAGGCTGAGCTTCAGGGTCAGCTGGAGGTGATCACTTATAGCTTCTTCTCAGGTAATTCCTGGACATGACCTGAAAAAAAACACAGAAAAAAAGATTTTCTGTCTCTTTAAAACGTCCCCCACTCTTTTGGAGAACTGTGGCCTGGCCTACATCCCTAAGGCAGGTTAAGGCTTTTGTTCTTTGTGTTACAAGAAATAACTCAGCCAACCCAGGCTGGTGCCAGTCCCCAAGGTGGGCCCAGGTGGGGCTTTGTCTTTGGCAGAGATGGAAGGATTAGAATAGTTAACCACAATAGCCTAGAACTGAGGACCATCCTTTTAAAACTCTATATTTCTGCTTATGTTCAGGAAATTTGGATTTCGAGATGAAAAGGTCTGACATTTGGACTCCTTTGCCAGCAAAGTAATAAAGTTCTTTTTCCTTCTCTTCAAACCACTTGTTCTTGTTCTGCTGATGCAGCCTCGAGGATAAATGCTGAGTTTTCAGTAACACATACAGCCCTGGAAATGCACACCACCCATCTAGATTCCTAGAAATATATCAGAGTTTTTTAAAGCTCAGTATAGACATCTCATACCCAGGATTTTTCTTAATGTTTTGGCTAGCTCGTTGTCTCAGTTATTATTGCTGCCTCAGGAAGTTAAACAATTGTTCCCAGTGTTTTTGACAAATACCCTCAGGAATTATGGAAAGAGCAGGTGAATTCAAAAAGTGTGAAGGTGAGCAGGCAAACTGCAGCAACAAGGTGCAAGTTGGAAGAAAAGGAAGCATTCTGTCAGTACGAAGCCCTATGTGATTATAGTTACCATGCAATTAAGCCTGATATTCAGATTTTAATATCCCATATATATGTGTATATATATATAGTTGTCTTTGTTTTTTTTTTTTTTTTTTGAGACAGATTCACACTCTGTGTCCCTGGCTAGAGTGCCATGGCATCAGCCTAGTTCACAGCAACCTCAAACTCCTGGGCGCAAGCAATCCTCCTGCCTCAGCCTCCTGAGTAGCTGGGACTACAGGCATGTGCCACCATGCCCAGCTAATTTTTTCTATTTTTGGTAGAGATGGTGTCTCGCTCTTGCTCTAATCTAAGGAGTCATATTTTGGAGTGCCACCTGACAGGCTGCAGTGAGAACAAGTCTCCATGTGTCCCTTCTTGGCTGTGCCTCCTAAGGAGGCAAAACCTAGATCTCACCATGAGAAACAATCAGACAAATTACAGTTGAATGAACATTTTATGAAATAACCAACCTGTACTATTCAAAATTGTCAAGGACATGAATGTCAAGGAAGGCTGAGTCACTTTTCTAAACTGAAAGACACTAAGGAGAAATAGTCACTAAATGCAGACCTTGATTCTGAGCTAGAGGCTTTTACTCTAAAGAGCATTCTTTTGACAATTGGAAAACCTCGAACGAAATCTGAAATTTTGATGATAGTTCTGTGTCAGTGTTAATATGCTGATTTTGCTAATTGTATTGTGGTTATGTAGGAGGTTTTATTGACACACAAACATATCCAATGATGCTTGAAATTTTATAATGAAATGTATTGATGTGGCAACTCATTCTCAAAAGGTTTGAGAATTAAAGTATGTTCTTTTTTCTGTACCTGATATCTTCTTATAAGTGTGTTAGTTTCTAAACTTAGGTAAAAAAGTGCAACATATAAAAATTGGATAAAATCTAAAACAAACAACACATTTAACACTTTTACCCACAATTTCTACATTTAGGGTTTAGATCATAGAAATAAAAGTGCTACTATTTAAGAAAATATTCAGAATATTTATAGCAGCGTAGTGCACAGTAGCAAAAACCTGGAAAAAAGTTAGTGCTCAACAATGTATAAATATATAAATTCACACCATAAATCAACCCTTAGAACTATATATAATTTGCTTAGGATATTATTGAGAATAAAAAAAGCAAGATACAATAAAACAGGCATAATATGGTCATGTTTGGTATAAAGTAAAAAATGAATAAAAATCCTGAATATAATTACATGAGCTCACATTGGATTATCACACAAAAAAACTGAAGGGTACACTTTAGTTTGTTAACATGGGTTACTCTGAGGTTAGGACCAGTGTAGATTATAGAGGGAGAAGGGAGAAGAGATTTTGGTGTTTAATTGTATCTCCTGGAGATTAATATTGTTAGGTTTGTTCCAGGTGGGAAGCCAAAAAGCATGTATAGGAGGGAATGAGGTTAATGGAAAACTTAGGCTTGTAAAACAATAGCTGCAGGAGTCTGGAGAGTTAAGAGGCTGTACATCTACAGACAGCTGCAGACGCCAGTATTCCTACCGCCCTGCCCCAATAAGGACAAAGCTTCCCCCTCCCTTATCTCTTCAGGATTAGACTGATGCAGGGATCCCAGAAATTGGTTATTTTTTAAAAAAAAATTATTAGAGTGGCTGTTCTGGCCCAGGTACTCACTCTCTGCAGAGAAACCTTCAATAAAACCCAAGGCTTTCCCCTCCCTCGGGGTGGACACTCTTTTGGCCTCCACCCATCTGCACCCAGATGCTCAAAATAAACAGCATTTTTGCTACACGTGAGGCTTCTTCGTGTGTCTCTCTCTCTGCTCTGGCTTAACAAATATTAGAACTTCATAGCCCCAAAACAGTGATTATTAATTATTTCACTATCAATTTTGTTAAACACTAATACTGGCAAATCCATTTGAAAACACTGCCGCAGGTTTCAGAGTAAATTTTGCTTTCCTTAGTGGCAGCACAACTGCTTTCTTTAGCTGGTCCCTTTATGACGAACCTAGGGAAGGGAAAATAAATACGGTGTTAATCATTGTTGCTAAAGACATGCATTTATGTTTTCAGCTAATACGTTCTTTTAAATAAAAGGGTAATGAAAAATTTCAAAACATTTTTAAATACCTTGACTTACTAACCACAGCAAAATGTCTATAGCTTATATTTATTATCTGTGATTGGTAGAGAGTTTCCGGAGTCTATCTGCAAATAATAGAGCAGAGAATAAATTTCCCTCCATATTCCCACTCTAGTTTTCCACCTATTGCTTTCTATGGTTTATTGGACTAAAAATTAAGATTAACTCAACTTGGACAGCTCACTTAACAACTTCTCTTGGTTTCTTATATCTAATTGTACAATGGTGATGATAATATTTACTTCATATTATTATAGAGGTTAAATTAATTGAAGTTTGTAAAGAACTCAACGCACAAACTGACCCCTGTAAGAGCTATATAATTATTTATCTCTAAAGCAATATGTCATAAAAATAAAGTTTTCTATAAAGTACTATAGTGTTAGTAGTTTATTCTGTGAGGAAGTTGTTTGAACTGTAAATAAAGTTCAAGAAAGAATCTCGGAAAAGACGCACACGATCTTCAAAGCTTCCAAATTGATGGGGGCAAGTAAGTATTGAATCTTCAGTTTGTAAGCTACACTTTGTTCAAATTTATATTTGAATTTTGTATTGAGTATTGAATTTTGTATTGATTTTTGGACAAAAAATCCCTAGGCAAAACTCAATCCTAAGGGCAGTGTTGAGTGGACTTATTGTGAGGACAAGACCAAGGTTAGCAACTGCATAAGCAGCTGCCCTCAGATGACACACGCCCATAATTTTATACTTCATTCCAAATAAGGTCTTGATTCATTCATTTCCTTAGATTAATTGAGATAGTGCAGTGAGATAGAAACTATATAATATTTAATGATGAAATAAGAGCAAATGGAAAATTACGCAATGGCATAATTTGGTTGGTTACTATAATACATTAGTTTCTTATTACTAGTGTAACAAATTACCACAGATTTAGTGGCCTAAAACACACTGATTTATTATCTCAGAGTTTTGGATATCAGAAATCCAAAATTGGTCTTACAGGGTTAAAATCAAGGTGTCTTCGGAGCTGCCTTCCAGGGGAGAATCTGAGGCTGCCTGTATCCCTTGGCTCAGGGTCACATCATGTGAATCTCTGTGTTCCTTTTCACATCTCTGACTCTGACCCTACTTCCTCCCTCTTATAAGGACACTTATGATTTAGTTGCGCCCACCCAGATAATCCAACATTATATCCCTCCTTCAATATTACTAGTTTAATCATACCTGCAAAGCCTTGTTTGCCATGTAAGATAACATATTCACAGGGTTTAGGGATTAAGATATGGGCATCTTTGGGGAACTTTATCTTTCCTACAGACATTGGAATAACATTTGGAGTTTACCTGATCTATCATTTGTATTTTGAATTAAATATTTTATTATAAAATAAAGCACATGAAAAATTGTTGATGAAATATTTTTAAATCCTCAATAATCCCATGCAATTGTTGAGAGAATTTTGGGTTATTTTGTTCTATCTTGTATTTATTGTTTATCTTTTAACAGTATGAGAATCATACAACACAAAAAGTTTTACATTGCTTTTGTCAGTTACTAAAGATGGCTAAAGTAAGCATTGAGAACTTTGAAAATAAAAGATGACATTAGTGCAGCCCACCTTTCCATATAAGTTGTGAGGATAGCCCTTAGCACACTCAGCCGCTGGCCACATGATGCCCTGGGCTCCCTTAGACCTTGGCAGAGTCCCCACCAAAAGGAAGGCTCTTATCAGATGTGACCCCACCTGGGTCTTCTCAGCCTCCATAACTGTAAGAAATAAGCTCCTTTTATTTATTAAAAAAATCAAAAAAATAAGCATTATATAACCATTATTCTTTTCAAATCTTTTTGCTTTGAAAATCAAATCAATATCCGTCATTCACTCCTGTGAATTTTAAATTAATTTCCATTCTTTTGAGTTCTTTATTACCAAGAACTATTTCAGAGTTAAATTTGGTAGACATAGAGGTACTTTCTGAAGACATATTCTACAATAGATAATCGGGTTGCCTTTTAGTAAAGACTCACATCTTTGAATCTAACGGAGAACCATCCACCCAAGTCCAGGGCTTCTTCATGGAAGTAAAGTAAAGGCCAATCCACACATAGTTTGATTGTTTCAGGTTTCTCTGTATAAAAGCCTATAGAATAGATAATGAATAACTAAATGAACAGAATATATTAATTCAGAAAACATTGATAATTCTAAGATTTTAGAATTTTATTGGAAGGCCAGTACTCTGCATGAGGATTTTTATACTAACCAATTCATATCTTAATTATATACTCATTATATAATATGCATAATATGCAATACACACATATATAATCGCAAGTTTAATGCAAGTATTTGGGACAGGTCTAGCATGAGTAAAGTGAGGCACTTGCTTGTAGCACAATATTAAATCAGGTGCCCAAAACTCAGTAACCAAGATAAACGATAGTTTAATGCAAGGATGTGAAGATATTTGAGGAAAGTTGTTTTTAACTGCATACAAGCTAATACCATAACCATGATACTAAACCAATTAATACCATTTCAGGTTGATCCTGTATGATCAGTAGATGAGATTTTCTTTCCAAACAGTACACATAACTGTCATTCCAAGTTTTCATCTCGGCAGAGAACCAATAACACTTCCCTTGATATTTGAGCCATTCTGATGGGCATACTACTATAACGAAATGGAGGAAACAAAATTAAATTAAATTAAATATGCCTTTCTGGAAATTGACAGTGAGAACAATATTTATGTGTCGTATGAAGAACAGTGGAGCCATAATAAAATCACTCATAGCAAAGCGTTCCGACTCACAAGGTGGCCACAACACAAATGAGAATTCATGGGAATTTAAGATAATTAATTTAGTAAGATGAAGCAAAAAGCATAAAGGGATGATTTTAATGCCAAGATCTAGGCAATTGACTAAAATAATATGAACAAATGAATATATATATATATATATATATATCAGTAATGCTATTTAAGATTTTAGATAAAATATTATCTATACCACTTACTTAAAATTTATCCGCTTAAAGTTTTAGAATCTCTCTCCTTGTAGTTTTGTGTCTGTATCCCCTTCTCTCTCTTGCTACTAGATAATATCAAGGGTTAGTAACAATTTAGTTTCAATCTCTTTATTTATTTATTTATTTTTGAGACAGATCTTCACTTTGTTGCCCAGGCTAGAGTGAGTGCCGTGGCATAAGCCTAGCTCACAGCAACGTCAAGCACCTGGGCTCAAGCGATCCTCCTGCCTCAGCCTCCCGAGTGGCTGGGACTACAGGTATGCACCACCATGCCCGGCTCATTTTTTCTCTTTTATATTAGTTGGCCAATTAATTTCTTTCTATTTATAGTAGAGACAGGGTTTCACTCTTGCTCAGGCTGGTTTTGAACTCCTGACCTCAAGCAATCCGCCTGCCTCGGCCTCCTAGAGTGCTAGGATTACAGGCGTGAGCCACTGCGCTAGACCTTCAATCTCTTTATAATTGGAAGATCACCAAGTCCTTTAATTTCCCTAAATTAAAATTATATTTAGGTCTTCTCAATGGAAAATATTGATACTTTTGGCATAAAACTGAGAAAAAGTGAGATATAAAGGACAAAGTACACATGTAGGTCAATCTATTTTAACTTATGGATCATTATAGTCCCTCTCTTTTTTTTTTTTTTGAGGTAAAATTCATGTAACATGAAATACACTATTTTAGCTATTTTAAAGTGCAAATACAATGGTTTTTAGTACATCCTCAATGTTGTACAACTATCCCTACTACCTAATTCCAGAACATTTTCATTACTGAAAAACGAAACCTCATAAGCCTTAAGCAGTCACTACCTATCCCCTGATCTCCCAGCTCTGACAACCACTAGTCTACTTTCTGTCTCTACAGATTTGACTATAATGGGTCTATCATATAAATGAGATTATATAATATGATCCCATTTAGTACCTTGCTTTTTAAAAATTTCTAATTATTATGGGTACATTATAGTTGTATATATTTATGAGATACATGTAATATTTTAATACAGAAAGACATACAATGTATAATAATCAAATCAGGGTAATTGGGGTATCCATCATCTGAAGCATTTATCATTTGTGTTAGAAACATTCTGAGTCCACTCTTTTAGTTATTCTAAAGTATATCATAACTTATTATTGACTACAGCCAATCAATCTGTTGTGCTAGCAGATATTGTTCATTCTATCTAACTATTAACTGTTCATTCTATCTAATTATATAGCTAAAAAACTATATTTTTGTACCCATTAAACCTCTCCCCTTTATCCCCCACTTCCCATTACCCTTCCCAGCCTCTGGTAATCATTTTACTCTCTGTCTCTATGAGATTGCATAAAAACAGACACATAGACCAATGGAACAGAATAGAGAACCCAGAAACAAATCCACACATCTATAGTGAACTCATTTTTTACAAAGCTGCCAAGAATATACCTAGGGGAAAGGGCAGTCTCTTCAGTAAATGGTGCTGAGAAAACTGGATATCCATATGCAGAAGAATGGAACTAGACCCTTATCTTTCCACATACATAAAACTCAAATTAAAATGGATTAAAGACTGAAATCTAAGACCCAAAACTATGTAACTACTAAAAACACTGGGGAAATGCTCCACAACATTGATCTGGACAAAGATTTCTTGAATAATACCATAAAAGCGCAGGCCACCAAAGCAAAATTAGACACATGGGATCACACCAAGTTAAAAAGCTTGTGCACAGCAAAGGGAAAAAATCAACAAAGTGAAGAGAAAAGACGTAGAATGTGAGAAAATATTTGCAAACTACTCATCTGACAAGGGATTAATAACTAGAACATGAATGACACCATGTATGGTCTGTAAGTGTTTGCATGCCCATGTTTTGATACAATTTAACTTTTTATAATAGATCTCTATATATTTTACAGTAGCAAATGATAAAATAGAGTAGTATCTACATATATTTATGCATTCATGATATATAAAAAATTTTCTTAATATTTTGGATATATCTAGGCTACATGGTTCATTTGCCAGTTTGTAAAAATTATTGCAAATCTCCAAAATACTTTTTCATTATAGTTATTTTTTAAAATCCACTTAGAGGTAAACCTGTATAGTTCAAACCTGTTGTTCAAGGGCCGACTATCAATTTCAATGTGATAAGAACATGAATTTTGGGAGGCTAGGGGTGGAATGTTATGTACTGAATGTGCACCCCAAAATTCATATGTTGAAACTCTACCTCCTAATACAATGGTATTAGGAGGTATAGTCTTTGGGAGATAATTAGGAATACATGAGGATTGGAAGGGGATTAGTACCCATAGGAGTTCCAAGAGAGCTTGATTACCTCTGCTCTCTGCCATGTGAGGATTAAATGAAAAGTTGACAGTCTGCAATAGAGAAGAGGGCCCTCACCAGAGCCTGACCATGCTGGCACCGTGATCTCAGACTTCCAACTTTTAGAACTGTGAGGAATGTATTTCTGTTGTTTAGAAGCCACCTAGTCTTTAGTACTTTGTTATAGCAGCCCAAACTAAGTAATACACACCCCTATGACTCCATTCAAATCTAATTACCACCCAAATACCCAATCTCCAAATACCATCACATCAGGAATTAAGGCTCCAGCACATAAATTTGGGAGATGGGGTACAATTCAGTTCATAGTGACAACTAAACAAAGGTGAGGGAAAATTGTGATTGATTCTCCTGCAAAATTTCTACTGAGTAGAATATTTCAGCTAAGTCTATATAGCCAAGCCATTTACCCATGTTGTTTCAAAGGTTATTCATTAAAGTGATGATATCCAATAGAGGTGCTCTAATAAAAGGAATAATTTTCTTAACTCTCTATAATCTATAGTTAGCCTCCACTCATTAGCAGTGGCTTTAAGCATAGGACATAACAGGAAGTTAAAAGATGAAATGATGGGGACTAGAATTCCTTTGATTAAATCAACTATGACAGAGTGTGATGCTACAGTGCCTTGCCTTAGTTGGTACTGTGGAATATTTACCACCCACACTGGTAGAGGAAGGTTAATAGATTCTCAACATGTAGTGCCCACCAATAGCAGAAAAGCCTTCAGCTTGTTCCATGAGATTCCATGTTGTCTGAGGAGGTCCATTCCAAGAATAGAAAAAAGGATTGTCTCAGGGGGACAACCAGAAAAGAAGCACCTTTTAGCAAAACTGGATCAATTTTAATAGTTAAGGAAGTAATTACCTTTTTAATTAAACTTTCTCCCAAGTTTGTTACCTCCTAGCAGAGTCACTTGAACACAGGAGTGCTTCCTGGGATGGGGGTGGTGGTGGTTCACCCATGTCCAACAGAGCCAGTGAGTGTTGTTTGATTTGGGGACACTACACCATAGTTAATGTGGTAGAAGAGTGGCTGTCTGCTAGAAGGTACCTGCTTTCATGACCACCACATCCTTCTGTGGGAGGAGGTCCCCACCACTAGCTAATGTAGAGACAGGAATAGGGCAAAAGTCTGCCTCCAGAAGGTAAGGGGAAGACTGCCACTGGTTGTCATCTAACCCTAAAAAGTACTGTAACTGCTTCTCCAATTTACAGCACATTATCTGATATAGGACCCTCTTTTCAGTTGAGTCCTAATATAAACTTTCTTGTTATTCTTAGGGCTCACCCTTAACAGGGGCTTGGTTGTATGTTGTCTGTTTGGCCTAGGAAAAGGGTAGTCTTGTTATCAATAGTAATTCTGATTGGGGTCAGAGGAGGTGTTATTTACATAAACTACTCTTGATTCCACTTGTCTTTCATGAGTTTCTATGAAATCCAGAGCTTCTATGGACTTTTGAATTGTTTTAGAATTAGCTATTATTGTCAGTAAAGAGGACTTATATTTGCCACGAGGCTACACAGCGATGTTTGTAAAAAATGAAATCAAATGTGTTAGTCATTGTCACTTGGGGTAAGGTATAACAGTTGGAAAAAAACAATAGACTAACCAAAAAGCTTAAGAGGGAAGGTTAAGGAATGAGATGCTTCAGGAAATAAAGGCTTTGAAAATCTCCCACAAAATCCTGAAAATCTGGAGCACCAGGCACATCTCCTGGGCTGGGTACACACTCAGAAAGGATCTGAAAAGGTCCTAAGATCTTACCTCTGGCTGACCTTTAGGCCTATGCACGCAAGAAATGAAGGCTAAAATATAGTTACAAATAAAGTGGTTGAGTGTCAAAGGAGTTTGCCAGTACACAAGCAGAGACCATCTGCAAAGACTAGGAGATACTTTTGTTGTTGCTATTCTAGGTGATTGAAACATCTCTGTTAAATATTGGCACACTACCAAGTTAACAGAACAGAGACTTCAGTAGCTACACACATCAAAGAAACAGGGGTAAATATTCTTGTGCTTGAATTTGGCACTCTAAGATATGACACCAAAAGCACAAATGACAAAAAGAAAACTTAGATAAACTGGACTTCATCAAAATTTAAAAATTTATACATCAAAGAATATTATCAAGAAATTGAAATGACAGCTCTTCGAATGGAAGAAAATATTTGTAAATCATACATCTTATAAGGATCTCAGTTTCAGAATATATAAAAGATTCTTACAGGTCAACAACACAATGATAAACAACTCAATTAAAATTGGGCAAAAGTCTTCAATTGGCATTTCTCCTAAGATATACAAATGGCCAGAAAGCACATGAAAAGATGCTCAACATCATCAGTCATTAGGAAAATGCAAATCTAACCACAATGTGTAAACACTACACAGACACTGTGATGGCTGTAATCAAACAGAAAGTTGGCCAGGATGTGGAGACAATGAAACCCTTGTACACTCCTGATGGGAATGCAAAGTGGCATAGCTGCTGTGGAAAACAGTTTAGTGATTCCTCAAAAGAAATATCATATGACCCAGCAATTCCGCTCCTAGCTATGTACCCAAGAGAATTGAAAACTTGCACGCAAATAAATACTTGTACACAAATACTCATAGCAGCATCATTCACAATAGCCAAAAGATGGAAACATCCCAAATATTCATCAACACATGAATGGTTAAACAAATTGTGTGTGTGCATGTGATATCATATCTAGTGATATAATATATAGTCATATATCATATTATACAATAAAATAAATGTCAAAATGTTCAAAGAATTAAGTATTAAAAAGTTAAACTAAAAAAATTGAAAGAAGGGAATGTTTAAAAAATCTCTATGAATGGAATTTCTAAGATTAAAAATCTAAATTTAAAATTATAATGGATAATTTATTAGATATAATGACTTTTATCCATTCTGTATTTCAGAAAAAAATAAATGACAAATAAGAATGGCTATTTACATACTGCTTTTTAATAATAACTAACTTTCTATATTTACATGTCTGAACTTGAATTTAAATTCCTAGAAGGCAGAGCCTATTTCTTTTGTTATATTTTACAGTTCTTTTCCCACTGCAAAAAATTAAAAATACCTGAATCAAGTTTTAGATGAAAAGTAGATTTCTGTCAAACTTTTATTTGTTAATTTAATCTATTAGATTAATTTAATCAATAGGATTTTTTGAATTTAGAAAATCTCAAAGATTAAAGCTAGTACAGGCCAAAGCCTTGAGACATACCTGTCTGGTCTGCAGCTCTGGAAACACAGTGGCCTGTGTCCTTATTACTTATATCTCCTCTTGTGCCATTATTCACTTTCAGGTTTCCAACATCATCATACTGGATGATATCTGAATTGTTTCCTCTCGGGCATTTTAGCAATACCCCCTGAGAAACTTGAATACAGGATTATTTTAAAGTTAGGTAAATATCTTCTTCATGTAACGTTTCACAGATACATTCTTTGGAATGATTCTTATAATTAGAACAAGAAATAATTGAAGGGATAATGAATTTTTTAAAAATTTCATGTCTATGAATAAAAAATAATTTCAAGTATTACATGATTCATTCATTTATAGAACACATATTTACTAAAGGTCTCTTCTGTGCCAGGCGTTCCTAAGAACTGGTGATAAAACAGTAAATAAAGCAGTTTCTGCTCCAGGAAGTATAAAGGCTCTTTACACACTTTCTTAATGTTTTGCTGAAACCTCTGATGCTGTATTTAGCACATTGGACCATAATTACTTGAAATCTGCTTTTCCCACTAAAATATGAGATTTCTCATCACGACCATCCACTTTTTTTTATAATTTAGGGAATTTTTGATAATATTTTGAGTATTGTAGTTGCTCAGTAAATATTTATTGGACAAAAGTAAAAGCAAACTAAATATAACATAAAATACATAAAATATATGAAAATACATAAAATTACATACATAAAATACATAATTTTACATAAAATACACAATTTTACAAAAAATACATAAAATTACATAAAATATATGAAAATATTTAAGGAAAAAAGTGAAATTTTACCTATTGACAAGTATCTAAGAACTCCAGAAAAATGGTTTTAAACACCACACACACACACACACACACACACACACACACACACACATATGTACCCCCTCAGACACACACACACACACACACACAAACACCTCTTTCTCCCTATTAGAGTAGGAAGGACGAGATACTTATCTGACTTGATTATGTATTAAATGTAGCACTTTGGAGTGTAGCATAGAGCTTCACGTGTAGTAGCTCCTTATTAAATCTTGGTTAATATAATTAATGAGTGAATAAATAAATATAAAAAGATCCATAAGAGAAAAGTAAGCATCTTTCATATTTTTATTTTGATTTGATTTTATATTTTTATATAAATATTTTTATTTTTATACATATAATATTTATGCATATAAATATTTTTATACATATATTTTTATTTGATTAAGATCATATAACTTACCCAACACGATCAAGGAGACCAAAGTGAAAGCCAGAATACCATTCACTGCTCCAGATATTCCCAGGCGGATTTTATACCAGTGCAACGCTGCTGAAGAATCTGAGACATTAATCACATGAATTAGCTTAGGAAACTGTTTCCAAGAGGTAATAGCAATTGTAGTGGTAGAATTGTTTAAGATACTAGTTTGGAGTTTCAAAGGATGTTAGGCAAACAAATTATAAAGGCTAAATAGAAAAAGGTGTATATTTAGTTTATTTAATAATGATAGTATAACTAAGAGCTATGATATGTTATATCAAATCTTAAGAATTAATATAATATTCACAAGTCATTCACACATGTTTCACTTACTAAGGATATAACATGAATCAGAACTAAATATGGTTTCAAGTATACTACCATTTTAATATAAAAAAAATCCTGAAATCTTTCCTAACCCATGCAATAATATGTCAGCTTCTCATTAGATGGCAAACTTTTTAAGAAGGAGAACTGTTTTATTTTTCTTGTACCTATACTTCCAGGTTTGTAAGAGTGCTTGTTCAATGATTTTTATTAATCACTGGTCTGCTATCATTAGAAAGTTGACAGTCTTATCCTGTGCCTCCAGTACATATTTTATTATTTTCTTCAGCCTCATTAAAAAGGATTTAGATTTGGCAGGCACTGACTTATGAAATTATATAAATAATTATCTTATACTGAATAAATAAATATCTATTCTATACCTTGCAAAATAATTTGTCCTTATCAAAAATAATTTATAGAAATGCATAATTGATAAGAATCACTCCACATAACTGTGATTATTCTTATTGTTCAGTCTACACATTGAATTATTAATACTGAAATTCATATTCCAAATACTCTTTAAATCTGAGGAAACAGACAAACTACATTTGAAGTTGCTGAACCCTGTCAAAAAAGAACATGATAAACTATTCAGAGAAATAGTTTGCAGCTTTTCTTTCATCACAACATTGACAAATATATTAAAATAAAATTTATCAGAATTCACTTAATGACTGTCCTGAATTTTTTAAGGTTATTTATGAATTTTGGATATATTAATAATGTTAAACAATAAATGACAAGAAATCAAACATATGTATTAAAATGTCATATATTGATTTTAAAAATTAGACAGAAAAGTAATTATCAGAAGATATGAGGAAAAAGGGGTTGAAAGACTGTTTAAATTCAATCAGACTCAATTATTACTTTTAAGCACTATAAGATGATCTTCATAGTTTGCACTTAAAGCATATTAAGTTTCAGAATAATGGAGAAAAATTACATTTTCATTATCCTGTGCTTTCTCCTTGTAAGAAAGTGGTATAATTTAACTTACGAAGGTTAAAATATATGCCTTCTACCACTAAAAAATAAAAATAAGACAAAATTAAAAAATCAAAACCAGTCTTGTAATATCCATATAAAAATGTTAAATATACTACTACTAACCAAAATATATTATAACCACATTGGGTTTATTCTAGAAATACAAGAATTATTCAATTGTAGGAAACTCATTAATATCATACTAACATAGTTGGGGGAAAATGTTTCATCATTTTAATAGATAAAAAAATAAAATTGATAAAATCCAACACTGTTATATTAAAAACAAAACAGGAGTTAATGGATGAATACTGTTAAACCTACACAGTTTTATGTCTAATAAGCTAACATATTATTTAATTGAGAAAGCTTTTTACAAAAGCCCAGAAAAAGAAAGATAATGATATCTCAAATCTTCATCATTATTAATATTTAATGTTGTTTAGGAAATATTATCTAATGTGATTAGACAAAATAACCCAATCACAGGTAGAAATATTAGAAAAAGGAGGCAAAATTATTTGAAGACAATATAAGTATATATTTGGCAAAACCAAAAGAATCGATTGAAAAAAATATCATAATCCCACATATAATAAAATAATTAGTAGCTGCAGTTATAAAGTTAACATACTAAAAATCAATTCCCCACATATATCCAGTAACCATTAAAAAAAACATAGATGAGAGGAAGACATTTCTTATGAATAGCTAACCAAACAAAAACAAAAAGAAGAGTAGACCTAAACTGAACAAGTGCTCCAAACCAATATAAGGAAAACAAAACAAATTAAACACTGAATAACATGAAGGTAGACTTGAATAAATAAAAATACAATCATATTCTTGGATGAGAAGGCTAAATGTCAAAAAGATAAATTCTCCCTAAGTTAATCGATAAATTAGGAAGTAATTTAGGATACCGAAAAGTTATATCAGGTTTTAGTATTTGTTGTTTGTGGTGAGTGAACCTGCAAAATTTATTATTAATATAAAGTTATTTGGAAGAACAAACAAGTGAGAATAGCTAGTAAATAGTGAAAAGATGGAAATACAAAATGGTACAATCCTATGAAAAGATATTTGCAATGTTATATAGGCAATATGTTGATACCCAGCAATTTCCCTTCTAGAAATCTACCCCGATGACATATTGGTATAATATGAAAATGCATATGTGCAAGGCTATTCATTGTAACACTATTTGAGTAGGAATATAATATGAAAAGAATGAAAAAGTCATAAATTTCCATTAATAAAATAGATGACCAGTTGAATAAACTACAGTGTAGCCACATAATGGAGAAATACCCTGCTATATAAAGGATATTTCTTTGAGCTTTAATGTCTCTGGTCCCCTAAATAAAGTAAAAATTGAATGTAGGAAGTGAATGAAAGACTTTTGAAAATGTGAGAATCTGTAAAAGTCCACATGAAAGCAGCAATACATTTTTTATAAGTAGGAATACATGTAACTCTAAGATGAACCTGTGACATGAGTGCTAAAAGGCCAACTGAAGGAATGGCAGTAGTAGGAACAAATATTTCTCTGGTGAAAGTTATGGATTTTTAATGATGTGGATGATACTTGAAGCAAGACTCAAAAGTAAAATTCCCATAGGTGCAGAAGTTGGGAAGTGTACTCTTAACGGAACTATCTCAACAAAAATCCAGAAATGAGATCAAAAGAGAAATATCTAGAAAGCAATAACACAGGACAGTCTCTATAACAGCGATGGTCTCTTTCATTTCTATTTATCTCTTTTTGCCATATCACATTAAGGTGGCAGAATGTATTTGCATCATGTGTAGAGGGTATGCTTGAAGTATAAGTTAAACATTGGTTGTTGTGTACAAACTTTATTTTGAGTCAACCTGGTGAAGAACATATTTTGACATTTTTGAGAAGCGGAATTAAAAACTAGCATTAAAATACATGTACTTTACAAATGATAGGGGGGTGAATGACTGGCACAAAATATTCATCAATTTTAAAATATTAATTTTAATTGAATGTATATATTTCCTAGAGAATATCCTTAAGAAATTACACTAAACAAATTACTGCAAATAAATATTAGTGCCACACTGAAAAATGAGGTGGGGAGAGAGAGACAGAAAGAGAGACACATCAAAAAAAGAATCAAGTCCAAGAATACAATAGAACAGAATATTGGAAACTACTATATTAATCCATACCAACTGCAAAACAAAATCAAATTCCATACCTTTAAATCTAAGCTGAGATGTTTGGATGGAGCTCTTTTTCTTCGACTGTACATTCAACGTCATGTATCCTTCTTCATCTTGCATCTTCAATGTGAGTGAATGTGTACAATTATGTGTATGTTTTGTTTCATTAAGTATGATATGAAATAAGAAAGAATAATAACCTGCAGCTAATCAGAGATTCTCCTCAGTGTCCTTTCACGGTATGGTCAAGGGTTCACATTTTAATGTATTGGTGAAAACCTCAAAGGAAATGTTTTTTTTCTAAAAAAGTTGATTTTCCATGACCTAGATAACACATAGTTTCTCAACTCTCTGCCACATATTGATTTGGATATTATATTGAGTGTTTTAAAAAATTTCTCCTGATAAGCCCCTAAAGTCAGGGAAATAGAAATTATGCCCCTTTCAGAATTCAGGTAAATAACACATACTCATCTTTTGTTTTAGCCTAAGTATAAATATAAATTTTGAATTATACTTCCTAATGTTTTGATATTTAATTTAATATAATAAATTGTAATTACTTAACAATCAAATTACTTCCTTATCCTAAAATATTGATTATAAATCATGCTAATAATTTAACAATATAATTTGAAGAGAAAATAGAAAGGTAATTATTTGGTATTCTAAGACTTATCCCAAATACAAAAAAAAAAAATATTTAGGGAGGAAATAACTCATATTTTCAATGACCTTTTTCTAGTATTTGCAGGCAATGCCCAATATTGATGAGACAGGGCAGAAATTTGAGATCCTTTTTCTCTCAGTTTTGGTGAAGTCTAAAGACCATAAAATTCACCCATTGTCACTATATGTATGTTTGGATGGTTTTTAGCAAAATTTTAGAGCTTTGCAACAACCATCACCAAACTCCAGCTTCAAAGTTTCCCTAACACTCCAAAAATTTCCTTTGAGCTCAAACTAAAAAGAGTAATACAATTCTGTAAATACTAATTTTATAAATTGAAATAAGGTAGTTTAAAAATTTGACAAATAAACCCCAAATGTCTGGCAACTGTAGCAAATCTAGAATGGAAATCCAAAGCTTTTAGCCATTGCCCCATAGGCTTCACCGAGGAAAGAGCCATGTAGAGCAGATGTCCCCTGCAAGCTGCACGGCCAGCCCTGGCCTCACAGAGACGGGCCCAGGGATGTCAGTCCATCCTGACTCCAGTCTCATTCCTCTGCTCTCCTGCTGAGCACTTATTGCCCAAGGGCAAGTAGAAGCCAGAGGGCAGAGTTTCCCTCACAGGTAAGTCTCCCGGAGCAAAGAGTAAGGTATGGAAAGTGAGCATCAGAGCTGGAGGGGCAAACTAATGATACCTGCACGATCAGATTTAATGACTATTATATTTAATATTGTCATAGACAGAGTAGCATTATTTGGGTTACTGCTTCCCTGGTCTATGTCTTCTCACCATGTGTCTTCAACTTTTTGGTGTAGTTCAATAGTCAGGTGGACAAAGTACCTATTCTGTGGGTGACAGTCAGCCTCTTTCCCCAGCTTGTTAAACAGGCATCTGGAAATTGTCCACGGCAACAGGATGGAAACTAAACAAGTGCTCAGTGGTATGGTCTCCCCTCATAGAGGCTAATTTTGCTATGACCTCTGCTAAATGACCAACCTGTCAAGTCCAGAGACTATAGCAAGAGCACATTTTCCCCAGGGAAACCAGCCAGTCACCTGGTAGCAGATCTTTTAGGTAAGCACCTGTCACCTTGGACTGGATAGTGCTTTCTTTTTATAGGAAAAATCTTATATTTTAGGAACAGATTTGGTTTCTCTGCCTACAGTACTTCTACTACCATCAGTATTCATGGAGTTACAGAATATCTTATTCATTGTCATGGTTTCCCACACAATATTGTATTTGACATTTTACATAAAAGAAAGATTGGGGAGGATCTCTCAAGGTCAGGAGTTCGAGACCAGCCTGAGCAAGAGCGAGACCCCCCAACGTTACTAAAAATAGAAAGAAATTAGCTGGACAACTAAAAATATATGGAAAAAATTAGCTGGGTATGGTGGCACATGCCTGTAGTCCCAGCTACTTGGGAGGCTGAGGCAGGAGGATCACTTGAGCCCAGGAGCTTGAGGTTGCTGTGATCTAGGCTAATGCCATGGCACTCTAGCCCAGGCAACAGAGTGAGACTCTGCCTCAGAAAAAAGAAAAGAAAAGAAAAAAAGAAAAGAAAAGAAAAAAGATTGACAATTAGCTCACAACTACAGAAGTTACTTACTTGACTATTACAAGTAACTGGCTGAACAAGGTATTGAAATGACTTTCCCAAGGCACACTTATTGACATCACCTGGGATAAAACAACTTGCAAATATGGCGTTAGGTTCTACAACACGTAGTATTTGCCTTACCAGTGTGTGTTGCTGTCCCTGCCATTGCAAGAATGTACAGGTTTGTGAACCAAAGCATGGGGTTAGGATTCAAATTTGTGGTGGCCTCACACTATTACCTAATAATCCACTTGAAAATTGCTTTCTTTGCCCAAGGTCGTGCTTTTGTGGGGTTAGAGATCCTAATGCCTGAGGCGAGACTATTCTAATGAGGAACATGATAATTCTGATGAATGGAATCATTGCAGCAACTGGCAGAGAAGAGGACCATGGTGCGGGTGGGAATTGGGTCACTATTATAGTGTGGTAAGAAAGACTATTCCTTGAACCCAGAGATTTAAAGTAGCATATTTTAGGACCAGTTTTCCCAATAGTTCTCATAAACAGATTGCTGAGCCAACCCAATAAAAACACTAACAAGAATTCACATCCCACAAGAATGATAATCTAGGTCATTACATGAGCCACACATCTTGTACAGTTAACTAGACAGTAAAACAGAAGAATCATGGAAGGGCTAGCACTCTATATCTTGTCTCAGGCTACTCAAGTGGTGAGTATCTTCTGGCAAAGAAAATAGACATCACACAAAAAGAACAAAGAAGTCCATCTATGGCTCAGATAAAATCATCCTGGATGTAGGTAGCTCCTAGGTCCCAGAAGCCTGTTGTCAAATCTTCTCTCAGGAGTTAGTGTAGAAATGATAAAATGAATCAAATCCATAGTCTATTGTGAAGTTTCCGTTACTTCCACAAGTAAATTTTTTTATTCATTGGAATAATTAGCTTTTCACATTTAAATTAGAAACTAGCATGTTAGAAAACCAGGAGGAGTCGCCTTGTCAAGCAAATTTGAATGTACAATTTCTGTAATCTTATTATTTGTCATCAAGATTTATAAGAAACAGTTATTGTTTTATTTCCATTCTCTATTTAATTGATACATGATATTTGTACTTATTTAAGGGGTACACGTGGTATTTTGATGCATGCCTAAAACGCATAATGATGAAGTTACAGTATTTAGGATATCCATCACCTTCATCATTTATCATTTCTTTGTGTGGGTACATTTCAAACCTCTTATAGATACTTCGGAATATATAATAATACATTACTGTTAATGTCACCCTATTGTGCTATCGGACAATACTTATTCTATCTAACTGTGCGTTCGAACCCATTAACCAGGCTCCACTGGTTAACTGCCATTCTACTCTCTGCTTCCTGAGATTAGCTCTTACAGCGGTGGCAGCAACGGGTTGCGTGGGCGGGTCCTCGGCACGCAGAAGTGTGCAGGTGTCCTTGGTGGTGGACAAGGCAGGGCGATCCCCAGGTCCCTGAATGACGCACTTGGGGACTGGGAACAGTGCCAAGCGGTGCAGGTCTATCTCAGGCCTCTCGACGGTGCGCGTGGACACCGGCAGCGGCGGACGGGGACGGGACGGGTCTATCCCCGCCCCACGCCTGCGCTCAGCCCGCTGGCAGGCCCGCAGGGTCGGGCGGCGCACTGGCACTCCGGAGCCACGGCTGGGACCGGAGATCCCCAGGCGCCAGGGCGGGGGAGGAGGCGGTGTTCGGGCCCTCGCTGGGGCTGCGGCTGCTGGAACCACACTGTCCTCAGCCCTCCCACCCCGGATGCTGCGCACGCGGCAGATGGGACCATCGCCAGGCCCGGGCGACGTGCTCGCGTGGTGGCAGCGGGCGGAAAGAGCCTGGCCGCAGGGCAAGTGCAGGCGGCCCTGCCGCTGCAGGTGCCGGGCTGCGGGTTGCAGTCAGGGGCGGCGACCTGACGCACGCAGGTGGCTCTGAGGCTGGGGGAGCTCGGGCTTTGCCTCCCGCGGCCTGGGGGCAGCCTCCCCGGTGCGCCTCTGCCTGCTCCCTGGAGCGCTGCATGCCCGTGGGCTGGAGTGCTGGGGACCTCGCCACAGGCCCGGGGCCCGCCGGCGTGGTGCTGCTAGGGGCTGGGCTCCCCAAATTGCGCCGCGCTGCTGTTTGGGGGAGGGGGTAGCAGGGGTGCGGGCAGCGCCCGGTCTGGAGCAAAGCCACTGCGCACGCCCCAGAGCAGCTCCCTGTGCTAGTCTCGGCTCTCCCCTGGCTCGGGTCGCAGGAGTCTCCGCTGGGAAAGTGGGCTGCTGGGGGTCTCTCATCACACTTTCCCAGCAGTTGGAAGTTTCTGGGCCCCCAGCCAATCCCTTCTGGGTGGTTTGCCTGGCTTCCCTTTCTAGCTTGCCTCAAAGGTTTCTTGCCATTTTCCTGCTGAATTCCATTGTTCTCTGGGATGCTATATTTGAAGTGTGATTATCTACTCGCCGTTTTGGTTCTTTATTGTGGAGGAGGGGAGTGCTGGGTGCCTCCATTTAGCAAACCTGAAGCCTATTTCTCTGGAAAGTTCTCTTACTCTGCTTTTGAAATGTGTGAAATAAACTGAACTGCTGCATTGCCACATTGTAAGGTTGTTATTCTATTTAAATAAAATCCTACCGCCAAAGCGGTGTATCATACCTGTAGTCCCAACACTTTGGGAGGCTGAGGCTGGAGGATTGTTGAGCCCAGAAGTTCAAGGCTGCAGTGAGCTATTGTACCAGAGGGAATGGCCTGAAAAAAAAAAAAAAAAAAAAAGGACAGAAAGATTTTCTGTCTTTTTAAAACTTCCCCAACTCTTTTTGGAAACTGCAGCCTGGCCTGCATCCCTGAGGCAGGTTAAATCTTTTGTTAAAACTCCCAGGTGGGCGGCTGGCAGAGTTTACAGGCTTCCTTTGGGGCTGGATAAGGTGGAAGGATTAGAAGAGTTAACCTCAGTAATTGCCTGAAGCTGAGAACCC